CACTATTCCAGGTGGGGTCTCACGAGAGCAGAGTAGAGGGGCAGAATCACTTCCCTCGACCTGCTGGCCATGCTCCTTTTGATGCAGCCCAGGATGTGGTTGGCTTTCTGGGCTGCCAGTGCACATTGCCGGCTCATGTTGAGTTTCTCATCCACCAGCACTCCCAAGTCCTTTTTCTCAGGGCTGCTCTCAATCCATTCTCCACCCAGCCTGTACTTGTGCTTGGGATTGCCCCGACCCACGTGCAGGACCTTGCACTTGGCCTTGTTGAACTTAGAGGTTTACACGGACTGATCTCTCCAGCCTGTCAAGGTTCCTCTGGATGGCATCCCTTTCCTCCAGCGTGTCCACCACCCCACACAACTTGGTGTCATCTGCAAGCTTGCTGAGGGTGCACTCGATCCCGTCTGTGTTGGTTGTTAAGATTTGCATCTAAGTATCTGAATGGGTGAATATTTTGGGGGTAGCTGCAAGGCATGTTGTAAGTTACTGTTCTTCCCATTTCTCCACAGAAAATCTGTGCAAAATGAGAATGTGTTTCTCTCTTTGGCCATTGCAAAGTAATTTAGGTTGCCTCAAAGTAACCCATTCCTTTTGCTTCAGCTGCAGAAGAATCTTCTGTTACTCCAGACCTATCTGGAGAAAGAGGCCCTTCAAACCTGTAGCCTAATGTGCCTGGTCTTGCTTCCTTGGAGATCAATGTTGCACCAAATCCCAAACACACTGGGATACCCTGCTTTGAAATAAAGTAGATTACATTTCCATTACAATTGCATTTATCTATTTTTTAGTTTGGAGGGAATATATTTTCAAAGATTTCATGTAAGTGCTTGTTTGAGAGAAGAATAACAACTGTTTTTGAGTTAAGGTGCAGCACCAGAACTCAGGTTTCCCAGTTGGAACAGCTGCTGAGTGACTCTTTCTTCAAAGGTGGATTTACTTTTTGCAAAACTTGCAGCGCAGTGAGTTTTCATGTGTAGTAAGAATGTATCTGGAATTTTTCTTGTCATATTTGGCTTCAAAAAACCACCATAGTGCAAAATGGAAGTGAAGCACAATGTTAACTATAGATAGGCGTTGTGGGTTTAGCTGCTCCTGAAAATTACTGAGAAGAAAGACCACCTGTAGTTACTGATATGTGTAGGCAGTTAGAATTTCTGGTAAATCTCATCTCATCCCCTCCCCATGAGCCTCCACTCAGCCGCTTCTCATCCCATGAATTTCAGAGATGGGTGGGTCTGGAGGAGGGTGGGAAAGAGGATGGAGTTGGGCAGGACACAGGCCCGCAGTTAAAAGCTAGAGAGGCTGAAACGAAGTCAAGTTAATTTTTCAGTGTAAGAAGACGAAATGATTTGGGACTGGAAAAAGGGGAAACTGAAGTCTACTAGAAATGCCATAGGGAATTTCTATAGGGGCTTCTGGGTTGCCAAATCCTAACTGGTGAGTCTGCAGAAGTGCATCCGCGTTGTGCATCGTTGTCGTCATCTATCGATGACAGCTGAATCCCACGAAACCTTCCCATAGGCACTAAGCTGGTGACGTTGTATCGCAAGGGCTTCGAGATGCTGCTGCATTTTCTTGTTCTGTTGGTCTTCCCTCTAAATCAGTTCAAACTGTGGTTACTTAAAAGGATAGTACTGTATTAGGGCTGAATGTTTTCACCTTCTCTGGCTTTGTACATCAGAGCACAGTTTCATATGACATGCAGGGCTCTGTCAGTAGTAAACACTTATATAAAGTGTAATTACTTGAAAATAATAGTATTTCAGAAAGAAAAGTGGATTGACAGTGGCTCATAAAATCAAGTAAGAACCTTGCGGTTCCTAGGTATTTCTAGGCATGGGGTGCAACTGCGCACCTTTTTCAGGATAGTAGGCAGTATCCTGGAATTTCAGGAAAAGTGTCCTCCAAAATTTTCTGTAGACATGTTTGTAGTAACCTGTATGGTTTCAGAGAGAAATGAATATAGGTTAACAAAGTTTCTTTATGTAGGAGTTTTTGTTTCGAATTTTTGAAGTCTGTGTTGAAAGGAAACTTGCTTTTAATATCTAAGTGTAATTTATGTATAAAACCAGATTGACTTTTCAGCTTCTTGATCGAGACCAAATTAAAATAAATCATTATACTTGTGTCGATTATGTAATATAAGATAGAGCTAAAAAATATTCCTCTTTTTTTTTTTTTCCTGTGTGCAGAAAAGATGAAAAGGAGTATGCACTGAAGCAAATTGAAGGTACAGGGATATCCATGTCGGCCTGTAGAGAGATTGCAGTAAGTGTACATAAATGAAAGTATTTTTACTGACATTTTTATTCAACAGATATTTTATTTTCTGTGAATTAAGTAACATTTTAAAATATGCAAGCATGAAAGTTATTCAAACATGAGCTTTTCTTAAAATGCTTTCTAAATAATGCTACTTCTTTTCTAGTGGAAAGAGATATTCTCGCTAGGTAATAATAATGCCTCTTTCTGGTATAATTTTGTTTTATCGGCTTTTATGTGTTGAGAGGGAAGTACATATGAACCTTTTAATGAGGACTTATTTTAAAAAGGATGTTTTAAAAATGACTTGAAGAAAAAGGATTCTGAAAGATTACAACTGCCATTACAAGTCCGCTTGCTAATAATATATTTTGTTTCAGACTAATGATACCTTACTCGTCTTTAGTACTTGAGAATAGTTTGTTCTCCTCATTCTTTGTTTCTAAGTATAGAGAAGTTTCATAGAGCACTAAAAAACAGCTTTTATTGTATTTTTATTACATGTGTCTTGCAAGAAAAAATAGATTCAGAAATTGCACATTTTTGAGCACAGTAGTGCCCATCATTCCTTCAAAGTTGGTAAAAATTGGATGTTTTTATATGAAGGTAGAATCTGATCTTTAAATGTTTGTTTTGTGACTGAAAATGTTCATTACTGTCAAAGTGCTGGATAGTGAGTAAGATTTTGTAAGGCAAGAGTTTCTTGCATTGCAAAAGAAGTCTACTTGCTTGATTAAATATTTACCTTGTTTTAATGCTGTCTCTATGCTAAGGGCTGTTGAAATGTATGTTGGGATTGTGCCTAATGCTTTTTATAATCTAGTAGTGTTGCACTGAAATACAGCATTCAGGTGTGCAATGCAATGTGAGGCATTAGAAACTCATGATGATCATGAACTGAACAAGCCACTGTGTTGTGTTTAGTGTAGTGCCCATGGTAATTGGGCACTACTACTTGCCCTTGGACGACACCAAGCTGGGAGGCTGTGTTGATCTGCTCGAAGGTAAAGAGGCCCTTCAGAGGGATTTGAACAGACTGGATCGGTGGGCTGAGGCCAATGGCATGAGCTTTAATAAGGCCAAGTGCAGAGTCCTTCACTTGGGGTATAAAAACCCCAAGCATCGCTATAGGCTTGGGGATGAGTGGCTGGAGAGCTGCCTGGCGGAGAAGGACCTGGGGGTGTTGGTTGACTACCGGCTTGATATGAGCCAGCAGTGTGCCCAGGTGGCCAAAAAGGCCAATGGGATATTGGCGTGTATGAAGAATAGTGTAACCAGCAGGAGCAGGGAAGTGATGGTGAGGCCGCACCTGGAATATTGTGTCCAGTTTTGGGCCCCTCGCTTTAAGAGAGATATTGAGCTCCTGGAGCAGGTCCAGAGAAGAGCGACTAAACTGGTCAAGGGGCTGGAAAATAAAACTTATGAGGAGCGACTGAGGGAGTTAGAATCATAGAATCATAGAATCATAGAATGGTTAGGGCTGGAAGGGACCTTCAAAGGTCATCTAGTCCAACCCCCCTGCAAGGAACAGGGATATCTCCAACTAGATCAGGTTGCTCAGGGCCTCGTCCAACCTGGCCTTGAACGTCTCCAGGGATGAAGCATCCACCACCTCTCTGGGCAACCTGTTCCAGTATTGGGCAACTCTGTTCCAGAGTTGGGGCTGTTTAGCCTGGAGAAGAGGAGGCTGAGGGGAGACCTGATTATGGCCTATAAATACTTGAGAAGGGATGGTGGGGAAGTGGGGGAAGGGCTCTTTACATTAGCGATGGGTGATAGGACAAGAGGAAATGGGTATAAGCTTAGTCAGGGGAGATTCAAGTTGGACATTAGAAAGTATTTCTTCTCTGAAAGGGTTGTCAGCCACTGGAATAGGCTGCCCAGGGAGGTGGTTGAGTCCCCATCCCTGGATGTGTTTAAGAATAGGATGGATGAGCTACTTAGGGATATGGTTTAATGGGGGATTAGGGATGGCTGGACTGGATGATCTCTAAGGTCTTTTCCAACCTAGAAATCTATGAATCTATGAATTCTGTATGAAGAGACGTAGCAGATAAAACTGCTGTCCTTTTAAAGTGCTTGCCACTATAAGGTCAAGGTCAATCATGGATTTGAGAGGTGACTGCATTGCTGTCAGTCATTTTACATAAAATCTACTCAGTGACCTTTTTGCTAATATTTTGCCTTTGGAGGAAATAAGAAATCCTCTTTTAACATCAGTACTAGATTATATTCTTGTTACTATAAAGTTGATTTTGATAGCAGTGAGGGTTTTTTGTTTGTTTTTCTTTTATTCTTGTCCTTTGTCTGTTTTTAATTGTGCTACTATGGTGGTGTGAAATAGTCCAAAGGAGACTTTCCCATTATCATGCTACTGTGGTATGGAGCTGGTTCTTTTCTGGATACAACATCGTGAGCAAGCAGGGAGTGTCTAAACCACGACATTATGTATTTCCTCTGGTATACATCACCATTTCAGTCTTGACTTTTTTTTTTTTTTTATTGTTTTAGACTCTTTTTTATTATTGATGAAACTTTGTGCAAAGCTCAGTACAGCTTGGAAAATTTCACAACTACTGTGTAAGTTGCTTGAATGTTCTCAATGGTTCTTCCTGTATTCTTCCTCAAATGATATTTTACTCTCTTCAGACCTTATTGTAAAACTTTATTACATAAGATAATGTAGCAAATCGCTGTTTGCCTCAGTGAAATTTCAGGTTGGTCAACTATTAGAAATGTGAAAAAGGTGAAGGTGAAATAGTTGAAAAAGAAACATGGACTTTTTTGTCCTACAGAAATAAGCAGAATCAAGTGCATTTTCCGTAATGAGTAGACTTATAATTAATGCATTAATAGTTAATCTTGTATTTAAAGGCTTAGATAGGTAACAAAGAAGGTGATGTTTACTGATAATTAAAGACTATCAGTCTGGAAAGAGGCCATGTTAAAATCCCATGAGTAGTTCTTTTGATGTTTAAATCACTCCCTAAAACCACCACCCCCACTGTCCCCAACACCAAAAAAACCCCAAACCCCACCCATATTCTATGGAAGCTGAGAAAATGAAAGACACACCAATGTATATGGTTCTGTGTATCTTCAGAATATTTTAATAATTCGGTAACATGAAGACACTTGACAATGTGCTCAAGAAATACACTGATGAACAAAAAGGCATTCAGTTTTGCAGTCCAAGACTATTTTGTGTGTAGTATTGCCTAGACACTCAGAGTAAGATCTACTAGCTGACTTTCCCTAAGAGAAAAGGCAGGTGACTCATCACTTGTGATGTTACAGATCAAGTTGGTCTGTCTTTGCTTAGGACTTGGAAAAACTAAGGCCTCTTTTACCACTGTTAATCTGAACTCTTCCTGGAGGAAGGCATATGTCAGTGAAAACATCATAGAGGTAGTGGTTCCTGGGTCAAGTGATGATTACTGTCTTTCAAGTATAGGATGATACCTGCTGAAGGAATCCATATTTCAGCCAGTTCTGTTGTATGCCTTGTGTTGTTGGCCTTGTTGAACTTCATGTGGTTCACAAAAGCTCACCTCTCAACCAAACCTCATGAAGTTCAACAAGGCCAAGTGAAAGGTCTATCCTGCACATGGGTCAGGGCAAGCCCAGGTCTTCACCAGTAAGACCAGTCTTCAGGAATCTCATGCACCTGAGATCAGAGGGAAAATCCAGCAAGGAAGACTTAAGTTTGGTGGAAGAGGACCAGGTTAGGGAGCACTTGAACAAACTGGACATATATAAGTCTGTGATGCCTGATGGATTGCACTTACAAATGCTAAGGGGGCTGTCTGATATCATTATGAGACCACTCTCAATTATCCTTGAAAGATCATGGAGACTGGGAGAGGTTCCTGAGGAATGGAAGAGAGCAAATGTCACTCCTGAATCCAAGAAGGAGGATCAAGGGAACTACAGGTTGGTTATCCTCACCAGCCTGTAGCTGTGGCAGTCACTTGTACTGCAGTGAATACAGTCTTACTCTGAAATTATTCTTAACCCAAAAGAAGATAGTTTAAGAATGTCTTTTTATAAATAAGATCTTTTTTTATCTCCTGAAGCACAGCCTGTAGACAAAGACAACTACTACTAAAAGTTTCATGTGAG